GGGTAGGCCGCCCGACCCAGCAGCAACAAGGAGCTGCAGAAGGTGAGAGGCGTCTCGGCCTCCCCTCGCTTCCGCAGCAAGAACTTCTGGCGTGCGCTGGAGGGCGGCTCAAAAATAGCAGCCATTTGGGCATACGCCATTGTGAGCGTCATTTTGTCCGCAGGCGGAATTTAATTAAATGCGGCTAGGGAATCATCTTATGCCGTCGGGAGTACCTTGAGGGCCTCGTCCATTGGCCAACAGACCGAGGTGTAAGCCGCATCGAACCAGCCTTGAAAGGACGTCCAGTCTCTGCCAGCTGCGATGAATGCATGAACAGGCAGCAGGCGACGAAGTTTGAAAGAGCCGGAGCTGAAGACTGGCATGGGCACTCCCGAGGATGCACACGGCGGCATCGCTGCAGCAGAGGCAATGGCACCCGGTTGCTGTGTCACATCTTGGGAGAAAATGGCGCCTGATAGTTGCTTTGCATTCAAAATGGTGCCAGGTTGCTGTGTCGCATTTTGGGAGAAAATGGCGCCCGATTGCTGCGTCGCATTCAAAATGGCGCCCGGTTACTGCGGCGCACCCGGGGGCAAGATGGCGGCCGATTGCTGCGTCACGTCCATTGAGAAAACGGCGCCAAATTCAAACGTGGCAGGAGGAGAAACGGCGGGAAGCGCCTGATCTCGCTGCAAAAAAGTGACGGGCGCACACGGCTAAGCTCCCACCTCCGACATCATGGAGACGAGACGTGCAGCTAACTGCAGCAGCTGGCCGAACTGGCTGGTCAGGAGTCGCCAGCTCTCCTACGGTGGTGAGTGGCAAACCGCGGCCACCACCTCCTGCACGGGTTGGCCGGGCTCCACGGGGCGCATCTCTGGGGCCCCGGACTCTGGGGACATTGCAGGGACCTCTTCCGTACTGTCTTCATCGTCCAATCTCGCAACAGGTGGGTTCTTATGCTTCGTAGCCGACTTTGACATGGCGACGAAGATTTGCAGTCACTTCTGGCACCAGTTGTGGCATCGTAGAACCACGCGGAGACGGAACTTCTTGTAAGGGCTTTCGCCGTTTATTAACACTGTTTAAACACTCAGGCTCACACCAGGGATAGGTGTTCTCTATACTCGGTCCTTCCCACGGGCCCCTGAGCTCTACTCGTCCTAACCTCGGCTATCCCTTGGGCTCTCTCACTCGGGCCGGGACGGGGGTTCATCCAACACTGTCCGGCCGAGGAGAGAAGGACGCCACTCACTTTCAGCCGATTCTCACAGACTTTTTGGAGCCCTACTCTCAGCTATCTCTTCGGCTCTCCCACTCGTCGACCCCGGATATGGGTTCAGCCAACACCGTTTGGTCACGAGCGGGAGAGACCTCCTGCAGCCGATCCACACTCCGGGCTCCCACAACGACCCCGCCTTCGTCACGGGGTCCCCCTTAATTACCTCTTGGGCGGCTCCTTCCCTTCACTCGGACCCGCCCCTTTTCCCAAAGGTGTCCCCTTACAGCACCCATGATATGACGTCATCAGACTACTCCTCTACACATGTAGTGGTTTCCAGGGAGACTGGATACGAAGCACTTGAGGCACACGTTTATTCAATACAACTGCAGGATACACGGGTCCCTAACACAGAGGGGTAGCGGCCCCTCTAACCGATACCCAATGAGGTATAGCCTATGGGTTAGTGTGTCCTAACCACTCGGACTACACTCACGTTCCTCCGGCCAAGGGGACCTAGGGAAAGGATATCTGACCCGACACAGCCAAGGTCCTCGGGTCCCGACCACTGGCCCACTCGGTCCCGACCCTTAGAAGGACGTCGGGTCCGGGGGGTTCCCAGGGTCCTTGCCTAGCTGGTCTTCTTTCTTCAGCTTGACCAAGACTGCCGGACTCGTCCAGAGGTCTGGCTTTTATACCCATGGCCAAGTCTCTCCGCCCCTTGCCACGCCCCCCTTCTGTAACTCTCTCGGGGGCTCTGGAATATCTTCCCCAACCCCTCTCTTGGGGTTGGGAGAGCCGAGAGTCCCAACGGCCCAGCTCATCCTGCCTATCCCGGGTTACCACCCCCTATGGACACATGTGTGCTACTACAGGTAAGTGTGCATAACAATGCTATATACAGTGAAACCTCGGTATACGACCGTTTGGAATACGTCGAATTTGGTATACGTCGTGTTTTTTCGAGATAAAAATGTTTTCTGATACGACGTCTTGCTTGGGATACGACGCCTTTGCTAGAACTTGTATGGGCCGGGATGAGTCACCGCGTACAGTACCCGCGTATGCCCCGTTCACGACTGAAACAAAGTGAGAGGGGCGGGGTGGCATGGGGGAGAGGGGCGGGGGATGTGGGGGAGAGGGGCGGGGGACGTGGGGGAGAGGGGCGAGTGACGTGGGGGAGAGAGGCGGGGGGCGTGGGGGAGAGGGGCGGGGGGCGTCGGGGGCTGCCCCCATGGAGGGTGGAGCCCCAGTTCGAGGCACGCGCCACGTGCGGGGTTGAGGCACGCCACGTGACCAGCGCAGCTGGCAGCAGCGCGGTCACGTGGCTTCTGTATGAATTTTTGTAATTAGTGTCTAAATTATTTTATACAACCCCATTAATGTATAATATGCCATATAAAATATCATTTATTTTCCTCTGGAACGGATTATTTATTTTCCCTTTATTTCTTATGGGAAAAAATCGTTTGGTATATGTCATTTTCAGTATAAGTTCTACCTTCTGGAACGAATTAACGACGTATACCGAGGTTCCACTGTACAATGCCTGACACCGACGCAACATATATAATATACGCATCTCGAACAGATTTTTCAGAGATTCATTTGTAAAATGTCGAGTGATATATGGCTAAGATATTTTTGTACGCACAAAGATTATATTTAAATAGCTACATATTGCATAATCTATAAACAATTAATTGCAAGCGATATCTCATTGTACAAATAATAATGTGCATCCCTTTGTTAATCCACTACTGTTTGAAGATCCCATCACACTTGTGTTGATTATTGGAGTTGTTTGGTCATACTTCACCACGCTGATCATCACGATTTTGTTCGTCTTGGCCGGAAATGGAACCATTGTCACTGGATTCATAATGCATTGCTAAAACCACTGCACCACAATATACATTATGTGTAACGTCCTTTAATCAGGTGAAAACTCATGAAGACGCATGACCTCCTTTGCAATGAAAACTTGGATCTCTCGTTACAATGGAGAGTTATATTATTATTTTTCATTCGGTCTATTTGTGGGTAATTTTCAAACTGATGACTCTCGGTTATCATATCAGCAAACCACAACCTGGAAATTATTCTGAAAATGATGCCTGCGCAGTATATTTTGAACAGCAGATATTACAATTTACTATTTCTTTTTTTTATTTCTTTGCTGAAGTTACTAGGTGGTTGCAAGCATTAAATCGTGAATTGAATAATACTGGCTCGGGGTGATTATTATACAAACAACCTAGCTTGATTGCTTCTCATGCTTGCTAATATAACATGTCATGTGTTGGAAATTTTTCGTGGTGGCATGAGCAATATGCGTGGGCTTGTCTTTGTTGATATCATGTGGATATTTGTTTAAATACTGCATCTTTATATTCTTGGTTCTGCTACGAACAAGGTGGCCTGTGTTCAATGCCAGGGCACGGCTAATATCAGTGTTGATATCTGAACCCCCTGTGACCAGAGTGGTGAAGTATGGTCAAACAATCCTCATGGCGAGCACAGCACGGGGATGTTTTCCTGCTTCATAATTCATAACTAGTTTAATGGTTGCAGTTTGTTTTTAGTGCACTGAATAATATTTTACTTCACTTACCCAAGAGGCTTATTGTCTTATGAATCCCCACCTCGTTATGAAGGTCACGATGCTGGTGATGATTGAAATGTCTGTAGGTTTTAGTGTTGCAGATGTCATCTGCTATGCTGATTGATGTTTTTTGCAGCTCAAGTAATTGCAGGTTGCTTGTCCAGCTATGGTCTGTGTAGAATTGAAAAGATACTCTTTCTTTGAGAACTCAGTCCATGCCCAGGTGTGAATGATATCAAATTAAGATTACAATGTGTAGCCGAAGCCCTGCGTTATCCTAAATAAATATTTGCAATAAATTCCAAAGTTATCCACGTATACATAATACTTTGATATAATCTGCAATGACAAGCCAAAATAAAATGTTTACGCCAATATAAATCGTCGCTTACTGTAACTTAGGCGAATGACTTTGGGTGCAGTACCATCACAGAGGACAATCACAGTCACATCTCTGCCGAGAAATCCGTCCGACGACTCGTTTATCAGTGACACTTATCAGCGCCTGCCAATCACACAGCGGGCAGGACGGACACTCCTTACGCGGGTGACGCGGTAAAAGAGACAAAACCTGCAGGTGTTTTACCTCTCTGACCCCTTGGCTGCATTGTGCTTGCACGGTTTGTGCAGTGCCACGGGGGTTTAGTTATGTGCATGAGGCAGTCGTGTCGTGCACATAGCCCATACACGTCTCGCCGACACGCCCAACTATTTTTCTTCCCACTCGGGGCTGTCAGAACTTACTGTATTGGCAGGGCGAGGCGTGGGCTGCGCATGTGAATCTTATTGTGGGTGCAAACTCTCATTGGGCACACCCCCCGACTGACCTTGTCTAGTCTACCTTAGCGGGAGTGCATCCTACAGCGCTGGCTATTCATTACCGTCCCAGACAAATATGAACGTGACAAACTATTTTGCACAAGAACTCTCGGCAAAATGGCCGCTTTGGTGGCCTTATTAAGAAGTTGCCCGGTCGCCAGCTTGGCGGTGACCGCGCGGGATTTCTATTGAATACCCATGTTTATCGGTTGGCTCTGTGTAGCTCACTGTTGCATTTCCGATGATTATGATTAATTGTGTCCAAATGTCTTCCCTATTCACCTACCCTGTCCTTCCACCTCTGCCCTCCCCCCATATTTCTGTCCTTTTCTTCTTCCTTCCCTGCTTGCCTCCTTGTTCTGCTGTGGACAGCTGCACTGGAGGACCTCCCCGGCAACCGGGCTCCCTTTCTGTCCTGCCAACGCCTCCTGCTAATCCTTGGCTTTCTGCTGACACTCAGCACATAGCAGGCTAGTGGTGTACCCTGGAGTCGGGTGTTAGCTCGGGAACTCCAGAGCACATTCCCCACACCCCTTTGGGAGTACACGTGGATGTATGAAGCAGGGAGTTGGAGGTTGAGGGAGCGGGAATAATTTAGTAGTTTCTTCTTGCCGACCAATGACAGCCACATTGGCATCCCAATCTTATAAATCCTTCATAGGGCTTTTATTAAAATACCACTTGGTAATGCTATTCCGCTATATATTCTGTGACTCCAAACAGGTGATTGCATTCAAAAAAGAAAATAAGTTTCACAAAAGCCAAGCAGTATTGTATCATATCCCATAGGAGCTTTTGCATGCGGACTAAAATCTTTTTATTGAAAAAGAGAGAATATTAGAACAAAGCAGTGCACGACAAAGAGAAGTTAAGTCATTTTCTACAAATGTTATTTTCACCCAGTTCCTCCGTTTGCAACTTTGGTTGTCGTTTTCTCAATGACACATTATTCCCTGATGCTGGTCAAGGATATTACTGTGGATGCATGTCTCTACACGTTACCGGATGATGTCTATTAATCTCCTGCAAAGCCCACTTGTTGATGCACCGCTGTTCACTGATTGATAAATCATTGCTCAAACCACAGAGTGTGGTGGAAAACATATTACAATCCTAAACTAAGGTGACAATGTATGAAGTGTGGACAGGATGGGCTACGGTGATTTTGAACAGAGCATAAATGTATAAGCTTTGCGCAACAAAAATTCCGATCTTTCACGTGCACACACATAGTACTGGGAGGCACTGATGAACATTTCCTTGTCCCAAGGTGTTGACAGAATGTGCTTTGAATTCACCTATCATGGGAACATTTCAGTAACTTCTTGGTCACGTTTTACATTTTAGTGATTCAACGTGAACAACGCTTATGATAGTGACATCAACACTTGCATGTATGTTTAGTAATTCATATCTGCCGAATGGGCAAAACATTTGGACATGCAAAATAGTGATTCGTGTATTTTCTTTTAATTACATGCGGTACTTATCCATTTGTATCCCACAACTAGCTATGGCAACCTCCCTCTGCCTCTAGCTACCCACCCTCGATTGGTCACATTCACCCCATGTTTGACAAACGTTCAGCTGCCAACTCTCGATGAACCACTCTCCCGGTGGCATGCCGCTGTTCATGAATTGGGTTCCAAGTGAGTTTTGTTTATTTGTTGTTCAATTATTTTTTTGTTATAACAAGGCGAGTCAAAATGGGAAGCAAGGGACGTCACCGTGAATGCGGTGACGATTCCCCCATGTGCGCGCGCGCTCCTGTTGCAGAGTTTCCCAGATGTTGTATTAATAATAAATAAAATCTGACTCAATGTATCAGCTAAGTTTTTGTTTGTTATCGTGCCCTGCAAATTCTGTATTCAAAGCATGCTTCTGTAAACCAGAATATTTTTTATAAGCTGAAACACGTAACATAACGTCTCATTTCCTGTTTGGAGCCCACTCTTTGTACTGCATTGTGAAGCCTTGATAGTTGAACACACTAAATGATGTTTTGTGTGCATGTGTATTCCCTTTTCCTGCAAAGCAGTTGTAAACAATGCGGTGTAATGTCCAAAACAATTACAATGTAAACCTTAAATGTTAAACTTTTGAAAGAAACCTTAAACGTATATGATACCTACATTTTGGATTAAAATTTAAAGTGGTGACATGAAGTGGCAGTGATTAAATTTATATTATTACAGCAAGCAAAACTGGCATTAAATTAGTACATGTTAAAAAAGACTCTTGTAGTGAGCATCATCTATCTAGATGAATACGCTCGTGAATAATTACGCATATAAAGAGGGAATGATGTAGTAATTTAAGACCTGAAATTCACTATCATAGTTTTACAATCAGTTATTTGGCATTAACTTATATGAAGATAACATCAACTATTTTTTTGCAACTATGGAGACAGTTTTACACAAATGAAGAGTATACAAGACAATTTAGTTTCACTCAGCTGCAAATTTAAAGTCTAGTTGTACAGTTATACAACCCATAGCCATACTAATTAACAAAGACAAAGGGGCATTTTGAGTTTCATCATAAATGGACCTATCTCTTTGCTGCATGATGTTGGGGAAGACCTCTGAAGCTGTTAATGTTGTTTTTTCTTCTGTATAGTGATTGTGTTTTTAATTAAAATAAACGTTTAACATTAACTACAATTGCCTTTCTGATTTGTAGATGGAACAAAACAAAACCTTATTTATCCCTATCGGTAAGCAGACGCTGCACCCTTTAAACCATGAACCACGTGACTGACTTAAAGTTTAATGTCAGTTCAGCTTGCTGTATGTCTAACTTATGACTTATCTCTTGCAGTATTGTATCAACATTATATAGCTTAATATGTGATGTTAACATAATTGTAAATGCAGAACTATAATGTTTTTTTAAAGATATTTGGTGAGACACAATTGTCTGCCAAAAACAATAGAAAGTCACTGGAGGTGAAATATCGGCTCGATGCTGAATCAGATCAACCATGCAATAAATTTTCCCGGTCGGAGACAATCTTAACACGTTCCTTCGGAGTGGGCAGGTAGGAACTTGGTTGGACAGCGCATTCATGCACGACAAAAAGCTCGCGGTCACGTGACGCACTTAAACCAATCCGGGAGCATACATGTTTGGGAGGGGCTATGCACGACAGACAAATAACCCCTGGTGGGCAGTGTGTAACTGTTGTTCCTACCTGTATTAAGTTCAAGAGTGCAGGTTTCCCTCCTTTTATGCGGTAGTAGATGCATTCCAAAAAAAGGTCGAACAAAGCGAAACCGCATGAGAAGACAGCTGCCTGCCGAGTAGCGCACACGGTACACGCACAATTTTGTCCCACGTCCGACCACATAGCTGCATATGAGTTAATAAAAACCGCATACTATACTTCATAGCAAATTTTGGGTACAAATAGATTTGCCGCATAAACGCAAAATTACACAAACCGAACCCGCATAATGCAAAGGAGACCTGTAATAGGTCATTATTGTGAATACATAATATGAATGTTAGCAGATCAATAGTGCACTCATTAATGTAAGAATGTATATAAATTATGTAAGTTAAAGACAGTAGGCCTAATTTACGTATTTTTTTGCCACATACTTGTAATTCCACAAAATGTATTCCCGCTTAATTCACGTGCCAGTGTTTTGGTTCGAATCACCACGTGCAGTGTGTTGGAGCCTCATTCTACCGCAGCCAATGAGTAACCAGGGGGAGGGCCTGAGGAAAAACAGAGCCGAGCCTCATGACATAACTAAGACATCATCATGACATCATCACGCACGCTCTACCAACAAGACCGAGCTGACCAGTCTGTTCCGACTCGCACACGTGGACACGCACCCACGCTCACATGTCCGTGTAATAGTTGATCTGTGTCCTTTACCGGAGCACACAATTATAGTCGCAATAACCCAAAGACAGCTTTTGCGCTGCTTAAAAACGATGTTGAAAAAAAAGATAATGATGAAGATAATGGTGGCGATGAAGATGATGGTAACTATTTATTAATAAACGACAATCGTAACACCCAAAATTACTCTAACTTACAAACGTAATTTTATACTCATAATCAACGTTTTTGGGTTTAGATCGCGTTATTTATAAATGTGTCGTAACCCTCCACCACCCGACACGGCCAATCAGTAAAAAAGTGTCACGTTGACAAAAGACAAATAGTTCACTGCTTTAGCCCACCGGTGTGTTGAAGCGTGAAACCACAACATTTACAATTTTTGAGTACGACGTTTAGCTGGCAATTGCATCCAGCATCATCGGGCAATTCGCCATTCTGTAAATGTTGTGGTTTCACGCTTCAACACACCGGTGGGCTAAAGCAGTGAACTATTTGTCTTTTGTCAACGTGACACCTTTTTACTGATTGGCCGTGTCGGGTGGTGGAGGGTTACGACACATTTATAAATAACGCGATCTAAACCAAAAAACGTTGATTATGAATAATATTGGTCGCGAAAGCCTACGTATAATTTTATACTTACGCACATTATACTCATATTAGCCTTAACATGCAGAAACTATCCAATCCCGACTGCTACAAACTCTGTAGCACATTCCTGCCTGGCCCGTACAGAACACTGTTTATCTCACACCACCGGCGGTTAATCAAGCACGTGACATGGAATATTGTGTACACTCGCAAGTTCATGCACATTGACCTTCCTTTCATCTGTTACAGCTGACTTATCACACTCCCCAACCCATTACAGCCCTTCCAAGCAACCCGTGCCCTCACTCTTGTGGTCCAGTATTACTGCTCCTGCTCTATGATTCCCCACGAACTTTAGCCGCTCTCTCTCTCTCCCATTCTTTTCACACATCCCACGTTGACTCACGTTACCCCCTAAATTCCACAACTCAGCCCTTCCTCTCACCTGTCAGCGCCTCTCCGTTTACCACTCCCACTGAAATTCAGGAGTGCCTGGACACAAACATTGGTGGTGATGCCACGGCACATCGTGAGCTTCCGTTGTCACCGAGCGATGTTGAGCCATCTTCTCAACCCCTGAGACTAACGGCCCCCCTCGACCGAGTGATATCACAGAAGCGTATATACGCAGCTTTGCATCTCTGAATTTAATAACGATGCAAATTAATGATTGCAAGAATGCACACGTTTTCCAGGCACTGGCGATACGAAGAGTTCACGAATAACCAATCAACAATACACTCAATCCGTGTTTTTTACATTAATGTTAATTTGAATAACTTTAATTGTTATTTAATGATGATACTATGTGCACTTTGCATTCTATTAAAAAGAAACATTGATCCCATTCACTTGCAATTGGGAAATTGTCCTTTTTTAACAACGATCATGCTGCTAATGTATGAGGTAAAAATAAATGCTGTTGGGAAAACCACACGGCCTTTCTGCATGCAAAACCATCGTTTCCTGAAGAAGTGCATTGTGGTCCTCAGAGAATATGCTCCGGAATCAATACTATGGCATACTCTTAGGTTTTTTCGGTAAAGTCGCGTAGGTAAAAATAGCCCCCCCCCCCAACACGTTCCATTCATTGGCTACCACATTCAGATAAGCCCCTCCCCCCTCCTCCCCCCTTAACTTGTATTTAAGAGCTTTTCTCTTGGAATTTTGCCTCACTTGATACAGTAAATCTAGCTGTGACGGTCCCACCTGATGACGGAGACTTGTGTTGCCTCCGAAACATCGTGATTTATAATTTTATTTCTATTATTATTTTTATTTTTTATTTTTACCTACGTGACTTTACCGAAATAACCTAAGAGTATGAATCATTGCAGTCACGAAAGCTTCAAATCTAGAATTAATACTATGGCAGTACCACTGAGCATTCATTTAACCTCGCCCGTCAATGTTCTACAGCCATTGGGTTAATGCAAAGATGTGCCTCCCAAAATTGTGGTGCCTCTGAATAAGCGAAGCTCCTAGACACCTGCCATGAGTGTTTACCTCCTGTCTGTGGCCCTGAAGTATATCCGTATTTACAGCTAATAGACAAAGTAAAAAAAACGCACTACTCATTAAAGTATATTGAACGTTGTTCGCACCGTACCGAGCCAACCGTGCCCACCAGAGATTATATGTACACGTACTGTAAAAATAAATTCATTCATGTGCCTGATCCAGTGGTTCTCAACCGTTGTCGTATGACAGCCCCCCCCCCCCCCCAATCTAAACCACTGGTTCCCATGCACCAAACCTCCCCGCTCCAGCATGGTTTCTAAAGTTGCAATACACCGAGAGTGAGTTAGAGATCACAAGTCCACCGCTCGAGTCATCACTGTGTTCGCAATGCATTTATTTTGTGTTTCATACTCGTGTGCTTTTTTGCGTTAGTAAGGCATTAGTCGGTTTTGTCACTGCAATCTGGCGCCATTCCCCCCGCACACATCCATGATTTCTCCTGCACGGTATCCATGTCGCAGCCTGTGTCCACCCAGAATGACTCCAGGGGAGAGGGGTGGGGGGGGGCACGCCGCATAGCTTGAGAACTTCTGGACTTATCATTATCAAAGTTTCAACTCCATTGTGTTACTGCAAGTTCGACTGTCTTTGTTTTCGTTTTTGTCCGCCTTGCACAAAAGGAGATGGCGGCAGCCGCCCGTGTGCTTTGGCCTATTCTAGCTTGCTGAACAGCGGCAGTATTACATTTTATAACATAAAAGGGTTAAGCTGCTGCCTACTCCTGTGAGATTATTGCTGGATCTTTCAGGTGTGATTTGGTGGCAGCATTTCCACACATGCCAAGTGATTGGATGCAAGTTTTCTGCACGATTCTAGAGTGGGTCATGGTTTCATGCTCTAGCAGCCTATTTCCCTTGCGTCTTCCATTTGTTACACCTCTCTCATTTCTCTACATGTTTATCTCGTCTGTATCTGTCCGGATGAGATGGGATGGCTGCAACCCATCTCAGGATTAGTCCAAGCCACATTTAACCAATCCACCGTGCAACTTGCAGAGATGCTGGAATGCATTCTGTAAGTGGTGTAGAGAATGAGTGCATTGCTCATTTATGGAAAAAGGCCATAAATACACCAACAATCTACATTTTGAATCTTTCTATTTGAATTCAGAAATTCCAGTGTATGTTTCTGATATGAAGCTTCAAGCATTGCTTAAGTAGTGACCTATGAACAAGTACGTAGCAAGAGTTAAAACATTTTACAGCACACAACAGCTCAGAGAAGGCAGACTCTGCCTTCTGTTCTCCACCTGAAGACGGATGCTTGCGTTGTGGCCGAAACGTCGTGAGAATTATTTTGTTATGTTTTATTTTTATTATTTTATTACTTCCCTTCTACGTGACTTTACCGAAAGAACCAAGCAGATGAATCCCTGCAGTCACGAAAGCTTTAAATCGAAATGCAAAATAGATATTTGATGCCAGTGTCCAGAAACGTGAATAATTGTCTTATCCTCATTTCGGTTTATGGCATTTTTAGCAGATAAGCATGTTTGCAGATAAAAGCAGTTATATTATCTGCAATTATACATATTGGTTAAACAAATCATCCATAAATACAGGTAATGGGATAAATTTGCCAAACGACAACTTATATTCACAAAAAGGTTATGGATAATATGGAGATGATTGAAGATTGTGGGCCACGATTAATGAGTCACAGGTTGGTATATATGATAATTGACGAATAGTA